ATGTGCAGGGTGGGAAGTGCCTGTGTAGGGCGGGGGTGCATGTGCAGGGCGGGCGGTGCATGTGCAGGATGGAGGGTGCGTGTGCAGGACAAGAGTGGGTGCGTGTGCAGGGAACGGATAGGTATGTGTGCAGGGCAGGGGGTGCATGTGCAGGGCGGGGAGTGCATGTGCAGGGCCGGGAGTACATGTGCAGGATGGAGGGTGCATGTGCAGGATGGAGGGTGCATGTGTAGGACAAGAGTGGGTGCGTGTGCAGGGCAGGGGTAGGTACGTGTGCAGGGTGGGGGGTGCATGTGCAGGGCAGGAAGATGCCTGTGCAGTGTGTGTGTGTAGGGTGGGCATGTGCAGGACAGGGTGTGTGTGCAGGGGTGTGTGTGTAGGGTGGGCGTGCGTGTGCAGGGCAGGGTGTGTGTGCAGGGGTGTGTGTGTAGGGTGGGCGTGCGTGTGCAGGGCAGGGTGTGTGTGCAGGGGTGTGTGTGTAGGGTGGGCGTGCGTGTGCAGGGCAGGGGTGTGGGTGTGTGTGGGGCAGGGAGGTAGCTGGGCGGGGTGTGTGTGTAGGGTGGGTGTGCGTGTGCAGGGCAGGGTGTGTGTGTGTAGGGCAGGAAGGTGCCTGGGCGGGGTGTGTGTGTAGGGTGGGTGTGCATGTGCAGGGCAGGGGGTGCATGTGCAGGGCGGGGGGATGCATGTGCAGGGCGGGGGGATGCATGTGCAGGGCGGGGGGATGCATGTGCAGGGCGGGGGGATGCATGTGCAGGGCGGGGGGATGCATGTGCAGGGCGGGGGGATGCATGTGCAGGGCGGGGGGATGCATGTGCAGGGCGGGGGGATGCATGTGCAGGGCGGGGGGATGCATGTGCAGGGCGGGGGGATGCATGTGCAGGGCGGGGGGATGCATGTGCAGGGCGGGGGGATGCATGTGCAGGGCGGGGGGATGCATGTGCAGGGCGGGGGGATGCATGTGCAGGGCGGGGGGATGCATGTGCAGGGCGGGGGGATGCATGTGCAGGGCGGGGGGATGCATGTGCAGGGCGGGGGGATGCATGTGCAGGGCAGGGTGTGTGTGTGCAGGGCAGGAAGGTGCCTGAGAGGGGGTGTGTGTATAGGGTGGGTGTTCTTGTGCAGGGCAGGGTGTGTGTGTGCAGGGCAGGAAGGTGCCTGGGCGGAGGGTGTGTGTAGGGTGGGTGTGCGTGTGCAGGGCAGGGTATGTGTGCAGGGCAGGAAGGTGCCTGCGAGGGGGTGTGTGTAGGGTGAGGGTGCATGTGCAGGGCAGGGTGTGTGTGTACAGGGCAGGAAGGTGCCTGGGCGGAGGGTGTGTGTAGGGTGGGTGTGCGTGTGCAGGGCAGGGTGTGTGTGTAGGGTGAGGGTGCATGTGCAGGGCGGGGAGTGCATGTGCAGGGCGGGGAGTGCATGTGCAGGGCGGGGAGTGCATGTGCAGGGCGGGGAGTGCATGTGCAGGGCGGGGAGTGCATGTGCAGGGCGGGGAGTGCATGTGCAGGGCGGGGAGTGCATGTGCAGGGCGGGGAGTGCATGTGCAGGGCGGGGAGTGCATGTGCAGGGCGGGGAGTGCATGTGCAGGGCGGGGAGTGCATGTGCAGGGCGGGGAGTGCATGTGCAGGGCGGGGAGTGCATGTGCAGGGCGGGGAGTGCATGTGCAGGGCGGGGAGTGCATGTGCAGGGCGGGGAGTGCATGTGCAGGGCGGGGAGTGCATGTGCAGGGCGGGGAGTGCATGTGCAGGGCGGGGAGTGCATGTGCAGGGCGGGGAGTGCATGTGCAGGGCGGGGAGTGCATGTGCAGGGCGGGGAGTGCATGTGCAGGGCGGGGAGTGCATGTGCAGGGCGGGGAGTGCATGTGCAGGGCGGGGAGTGCATGTGCAGGGCGGGGAGTGCATGTGCAGGGCGGGGAGTGCATGTGCAGGGCGGGGAGTGCATGTGCAGGGCGGGGAGTGCATGTGCAGGGCGGGGAGTGCATGTGCAGGGCGGGGAGTGCATGTGCAGGGCGGGGAGTGCATGTGCAGGGCGGGGAGTGCATGTGCAGGGCGGGGAGTGCATGTGCAGGGCGGGGAGTGCATGTGCAGGGCGGGGAGTGCATGTGCAGGGCGGGGAGTGCATGTGCAGGGCGGGGAGTGCATGTGCAGGGCGGGGAGTGCATGTGCAGGGCGGGGAGTGCATGTGCAGGGCGGGGAGTGCATGTGCAGGGCGGGGAGTGCATGTGCAGGGCGGGGAGTGCATGTGCAGGGCGGGGAGTGCATGTGCAGGGCGGGGAGTGCATGTGCAGGGCGGGGAGTGCATGTGCAGGGCAGGGTGTGTGTGCAGGGCAGGAAGGTGCCTGTGTGGGGTGTGTGTAGGGTGGGCATGCGTGTGCAGGGCAGGGACTTTGGAGACAGCCGTGTTAGAGCCTGGGTCTCAGTTTTGCATGTCTAGCTGGGAGACCTGGGATGAGCCACGAAGCCTCCGAGGCCCAGTTCCCTGCAAGTGCTAAGGGTCAAGGGGACAGCATGTGGTCCGGCGTGTGGTCAGCTCTCTGGCGACCTCCCCCACTCCTACTCCCACTCCCACTGCCTCCCACCGCCCACCTCCGGGTGACCCGAGCAGGCCCTACCTGTCAGCGAGTAGATGAGGCAGCAGGCCAGCAAGGACAGGACAGAGACCAGGGTCCAGTGAGGGAGGCTCCGGTTGCGCATGCTGCAGTGGATGGAGACGGCGGCCTCATGACACTGGAAGACACAGGGAGCTTGGGGGCTCAGGCCAGCTGGCGTCAGGGTCACCTGGAGCCATCTAAACAGCATCAATGCGCAAAAGAAGGGACGCGACCCCATGTCAGCCAGAGGCGACGGTATAAACAGACCGCAGGGCCCTCATACGCGGACTGTTACAGGGCTCTGAAAAAGAAGGGCGCCACAGCCCTCGACGTGGAAGAACCTCACACTCCCAACCCTGAGCCAGAGCCAAAGACCCAAGGGACTGTGCCACCCATGTGACGGCAGCCCAGCAGGCTCTGGGCCTCTGCACCACTGTGCAGGGCTGTGCCCCCACGGGACAATGGAGGGGCTCACGTGGCACCCTGTCTCCACCCTCCAGAGGCCAGCAGCTGCCTTGGGTGGGCAGAGGAGGTGCCACTGACAGGGAAGAGTCACAAGGGTCCCAGGGATTACGACGGCCCACAGGAACCCGAATACCACGATCCCCACGTGTCACGCACTGTGTGGTATCTGTGACACACACGGCCAATACCAAGCGCCCCTGTGACACAGTTCCACCTGTCTGGGGAGGTCCTGGGCAGCCAAGGGCCCCTCCATACCCAGATGTGTCCTGACGTGCCTGGAGCAGGCCCTGGGCTCCCGGGTGGGTCCCCTCTGGCATACACACCTATCCAGTCCTTGTTGAAGCAAATGGGTCGAACACCCTCCTGCCAGCCCTCCAGGCTCCCCGTGCTCTGGGCTCGGACCACCAGGGTCTCCTACCTCTGCCTGGCTGTCCCCTCTGGCACTGACTCTCCTAGCCAGATCAGCCCCTTCTCATCCCTCAGGAAGGCCTTCCAGAGCTGGGCCCGTGGGAGCCCGGGTGGGTTTCACATGCAGCATCTGCCTTGCTCAGGGCTCAGCCCTCAGGCCAAGCAGAGCCGAGCCTAGAGCCGAAGGGGACCCCGGGGGCGCCCGTTTATGTACCCCAGAAAACGCAGCCACAAGCCTCCCCCACCCAGCCCCAGCTGTCTGTCACTCTAATGCCACTGAGCCACCAGGTGCAGGCCAGGTACCAGGTACACAGCCCGACACGCTGCCCCGTGGAGCCTCAGCCCTGCCAGCCCCAGCCCAGGCAGCTCAGACGCACCTGTGTGGGCAGCGCTTTCCTGCAGCTTGCCCCACCGCATCTACCCTGGGGTTTCCCTAACCCTGCAGGAGCCTGCTGGCCTGGGAACCCTCACTCGACAGGCAGCGGAACTCTGTGGTGAGCGTCCTGCCTCCTGCTCTCCTCCGTACTTCTGGGGCGCCTCCTGCACACCCTCGGGGTGGCCGAATGGCCCTGCACCCCCAGCCCTCAGTGGCGACCGCTGTGTGGCCCCTCCCCGCTGCACCCTCCCTGCTCCTGAACAGACACAGCACCCAGCCCTGCGGCCAGTTGTGCGGTCAGGGGCCGCAGTGGGCAACCCTCAGAGAGAACAGAGGGGTGGTCCAGCACTGCCAGTCTGCCCCGACACCAACACGGGCTGGGAGGCACTTAGGTTGCTGCCCTCCTTCCTGCCCGCCTGCCCCTCTGCACGTCTGGTTGGTTTCATAAGGGACACCAGCGCTCCCCTCCGAGGGTGGGCTCGCCAGGCGTCCCGTGATGGGAGGAGGCACTTTAGCCACAAGCAGAAACAACCCTAATGTCCAAAGGACGACGGAGGCGTGGTGCACAGCGCAGCCACACCACGGAATACTATTTGGTCACGGGCAGGGATGAGCACTGACGGCGCCTGCAGCTGCCGTGAGCCCTGAGCCATCACGCCGAGCAGGCCAGTCACAAAGGCCACTGACGCGACACCTAGAGACGGGCAGTGGCTGCATGGCCGGAGTCAGGGCACGGGGCGGCCGCGCGGGCTGGGGCTTCTTTGGGGGTGATGGAAGTTCCCACGGCGACCGTGGGGATGGGTGCGCAGCTGCACAAGCGCAGGAGACCGCTGAGGGAGCGGCACAGCATGATGGGAGCGGGCGGTGGTTTGAGAATTCTATCTCAGCTGCTTAAAAATAAAAAGATTCTGGTCCTGGTGTGGCTGCAGCGGCCGTGAGTGGCCCCTGCACCCACTCTGTTCCTCCAGGCCGCTCCCTGACTCTGCACTGCCCTGGGATGGGGTGCCCCACTCCAAATGTGTTTGGGGAAAGGTGGCGAGTTTGAATCGGGTCGGAGTTCCTGATGCCAACAGGTGACCCTCGCCTCGGCAAAACCCCCTCCATCCTTAGCCCAACTCCCTCGCCCCATTCCCTACCACTGTCATCCATGGAGCTTCCCCCAGGCCCCGACTCTCCAAGCCAGATCTTCGGCACTGCCCCACCCCACCAGTCACACTGGCCACACAGCCGCTGGCCTGAGCCCCACCAAGCCCCACCCTTGAATTCTGTCCTTAGCTCCATCACAGCAACGGCGCGTGTCCCTGGAAACGCAGCCCAGGCCTTGGTTGCTAGGCGAGGGGGCCTAAGGAGCAAAGGTGAGGACACCCCCTGAGCATCTGGAAAGCGCCTGCGAGTCTGCAGCACCATATGGTGCTCAGGCAGGAGAGGGGCCGGGGACGCAATCCAGTTGGCAGCTGACAGTGAAGTCGGTGCGCCGAAGCTTTCAAAATATTGGGTGCACAAGAAGGAATGTGAGAAATCGTGAGCGCTGCTCGCTATGCCCGGCAGCCTCCGAGCCGTTTACCAGGAGAAATGCAAACGTCTCAGTGGGCCTTTCCAAAAATGGTTCTCAGAGAGCCAAGATGAGCAGCCCAGGACCCGCTGTGGAAGGGGGCAGAGCCTCAGGCCCCAGAGCCGAGGTACTCGCGGACCTGCACACACTTCCCGTGTGAGCTTGGTTTGCACTGGGGGCCGTGTGGGGGCGGGGTTGTGGTGGAGGATGGTTTCAGAAGATCGAGGCAAATCATCCTGGAAATAAACAGTGACGTGCAGAGTCAGCTGCCACCTGTGGGGAGCGGGAGGCCCGGGACAGCGCGGGCTGAGTAGGCACTGAGCCCAGTCCCCATCAGCCCTCCAGCACCCTGTGCAGCACCTTCTGTGCCTGGGCCCTGCGGGTTTCCCAGGGGGCCAGCCCTCTCAGCTCCAAGGCTCACCTGTGATGTCCCCTCTCCCTGGCCACCCTCCTCTCCACCTGGCCACCCCCCACATGGCCTTCAAGACTCCTCTCTCGCTCAGCGCCCTGGCAGGTGTCACCGCATCAGCTCGTCCGTGGGCTTTCCTTCCGCAGAGCCTTGTCCCTCCTGCCACGACATTCTGTCACAAACTCCATTCTGCCCTCCCCGTACACCTGCAAGCTCTCCTCCCAGCCTGTGCCTGTGTTAGGCCCGACCTCCCGCTGCCAAGGCTCCCACGCCGGGCCCAATGTGTAAAGGGTCCTATGGGTGGCAGCGGGCAGCTCAGGGCTGTGGATGTGGGGACAGCCTGTGAGGGCACTGCAGAGGTTCCACGGCACACCTTCCGGCCTTGACTCTCGGCGGAGGCTGGTTCCCAAGTTCAATGGCAGCTCACACCCCCAGCCCAGAGGACAACCCACTTGTACAGAGACAGCCCCGGGGCATGGGCAGGCAGCTAAGGGCCCATTTCATCCTAGAATTCCCCAGACTCCCCGCAGGGGCAGGGCGTGTCTTTGGCCCCAGAGAACCCCTCACCACAGACGCTAGGTTACCTGAAATCCGAAGCAGATGGTGGGGAAGACACTGAAGACGGAGGCCCAGGAGGAAGGGCTGCAGATGGACAAGAATAGGCTTGTTACAGAGGAGGGGACACAGGGGCACGCAGGGCGTGAACTTCAGCACCACCAGGAGGGGCCAGAAGGTTGGTGCAGTGGTTAAGACGCTGGACTCCCACATGGCCAAGTACAGTTCAAGTCCCGCGCTGATATTCACGCGGGGTGTGTAAGGCGCATGCCCAGAGTCCTAGGAGGACAGAGAAGGACTGCAGTGTGGCCGCCCCCTGCGGAGTTATTTCTCACTGTCTCCACCTCTCTGGAAATTGCAAAGACCTTGACAAATAACAATGAGCATGGCCCGGGGAACGGCCGAGCCCACGGACGGCTCTCACTGCTGCCTCGCAGCGGCCTTACCCGTTGGATCCCAGGCCCTCTGAGGCCACCCTGCACCAGTGGGGACAGACCCAGCAGTGGGACACATGGCGCCCGCTGCTCCAGCATCTCCTCACTACGGCAGAGAAGCGCCCTACGGAGTCCAAGTCCGACCCCAGGAAGCTGTGAGTGTGTCACCTTACAGGACAACTCTGGATGTCTACCTGGGACTTGCGACATTGTCAGCCCCATCTGTGGTCACTGGGGCACCCTCCTAATCACCAGCCTCTGCTCCCACTGGCTCCCCCATTTCCCGGCTCCCCAGTACTGAAGACCCAGGGCTCGGAGAACAGCCCTCAGAGCTCGGGCCTCAGCCATCTCCAGGCCGGTGTACCTCTTCCCTCTGCCAGGGCCTCTCACTGAGCACCAGACACGCAGGTCTGAGCAGCTTCTCGGCATCACCACGGGACTTCTCAGAGCCGTCACCAGCCTGGCAGGGCCCACCCCGCCCCCCCCCCCGCACCCCTCCCTC